CCAGGATCTGACTATGCAGCTCTTCCTTTCCTGAAACTCACTATGTAGACCAGGCTGGCCTTGAACTCACAGAGCTCTGTCTACTTCTGTCTCCTGAGAGTACTGAGATTAAAGGTGTGTGCCACTATCCCCAGTGTTGTTCTTATCTCCTTACTATAGTAACAGTAGTTCAATGGTTCTCAATCTTCCTAATGCTGCAACACTTTAATACGGTTCCATTTTCATTGCTACTTCTTAACTGTTAATTTTCCTACTGAATTATAATGTATGTATCTGTGTTTTCTGATGGTCTTAGGTGACCCCTGTGAAAGGGCTGTTTGATTCCCCCAAAGAAGTCATGACCCACAAGTTGAGAACCACTGATCTAGTCATTGTTTTTCAGGGAAAATGTGTTAGATTAGAGTAAAGATATTTTTATTGAAATATTTATTCCAGAGCTAATACCTCACCCAGATCTTGGTGTGAAAACAGCTGCCCACACCAGCTATCTCTAAGATACAGATCAAGTTCACACACCCCATTGCCTCATTAGCCAATGAAAGACAATATTAGTATATCTGTGTTATTTCAGCTTATAACTTTAGTATTATAATATTTGAAAATATGGGTTTGTAACTTGTAGAGAAATGAATACAACATGCACAATCAGTTTTTGATTGGTATATGATACAACCTATTGTTTTGTAGGTAGGAATGTACAAAGGGTCATGTTTCAGCACTGCATAGCAGCTTATTACAGGCCTCCTAGATGATGGAGAACAAAATAATAGGCAGAGTGTATCCTGCGGTCCCACTGCTACTAAGTGATACTTTGTTTGAAGTTTTTCTCTTTGTGAAGGTTTCCCCAAGTCACTACAGAACCACTATTCATAAGGGAGAATGCCCTAGCATAACTTCTGAAAAGCAAAATAGTGAGCCTTATTCTTGGACTGACTCCAACCCAGACTTAGCATTCAGAATGTGGCATTAGATTTCTTGACATCAAGGGCATGACCAACAGGCAGCTAAGATTTTGTGAGGTGGTCCATCCTGCCAAGAAAACTGATAATGATAAGGTGCTGTCTTCTGGAATTCTATGTTGATTGTAGGGATAGTGTATGCATTCTACATTGTTGGGTACAATTACCTCCCAGAATACAATGCATCTTCTTTCAGACATCCCAGGGAGATAATTTGGATGTAATGAAGATCTATAGTAATCAGATAATTACTATCGATTGCTCTTTAGATGTCTTGATGAGGTAATTAGGGCATACTGGAAAGAAGCTAGAACTGATTGATTGGCATGACTGTAATCTCAAAGATTTCTAATTATGTTTCTTTTCTTCTAATGGCTTATAAACAAACATCATTTTAGCTTTAGAATTTGTCAGGTGCCAGGTTCACTGGGAACATCAGCTTTCTCTATTATGCTAACTAGACACTGAACATGATCAACATAAGCTCATTATGTGTTCTTGCTGAAAGCAGAAGCAACTGCAATTAACCCTCACTTCCCTTCCCAGTTCCACAGACTGTCAAAGGATGCTTGTCAGTGAATGGGGTATGCAGTGTCAGGGAGGGTGACTATGTGTGTTTGTGAGCTGGCTAGATCTGTAGGTCCTGCGGGGGATTCTGGGGGTCTGCTGAGGTAAGCACAACAGACTCAGGGGTGCAGTAACACAGCATCTGTGTCAGAGTGGCTAGCTGGCTGCTCAGCTCCTGTCAGAAGTAATAGCTACTCATCTCCAGCCATGGAAGAGAGTAGGTCAATACTGTCAGACAGCTGGACCACACACTTTCTCTGTGCCAAAGGGGTCTCGCCTCATGACTTCCATTAGACACTAATTAGAGGACTCCCTATCTGAGACCATGATCCCCATTATCCTAATATTTCCTATGCCTCAAAGGAGTTGGTGATGCAAGCTAAGAACCCAGAAAGCTTCAGTTTCCTAGAGCTGTTTGCATCTTATCCATGGCGTTAGTGAGCTCAGGAGTGACTAGATTGCCATAGTGTAGTTCAGCATTCATTCAACAAATGCAAAGCACATGCATCTCTGGATATATAGCAAAACAGATCCCACTTGTCCACTATAGTTGCTCTGTATTCACATCTTGTTGTGGGTTGTTCCCCAGTGCATGCAGATGACTTTCTGATTGCCAGTACTTAGAAATCTGTCTTATTTACTAAAATAGCACCATAGAAGACACCCATACTTTGCTTTATGTTACTTACAAATATCATTATTTTCCTGGATTTTCACTTTTAGAAGGTCATATGTAACGTGTATGGTTTTTTCCGCCCGCCACCGCTGGTCTTGTCCTGCTGCTGCGCCGCCAGCCCCAAATAATACACAGAGACTCTGTATTTGATACAATGCTGTTGGCCCTGTTACTTGTTTTTTATCGGCTAGCTCTGCCTTAATTATTAACCCATTTTTGATGATCTATGTATTTCTCTTACCGGGGAGCCGGCAGCATACTGCTTTCTCCAGACTCTCCATCTTGACTCCTCCTTACTCCTTCCTATTTCCTCCTTGTCTCCTAGTCCCTCCTATCTTCCTTTCCTATTGGCCAACAGTGCTTTATTATTATCCAGTATGAGAAACATATATAGAATGACATCTCCCATCATCTCCTCTTTTCTGTTTAAATAAAAAGAAGGGGTTTAACCTTAACATAGCAAAATATATAACACAACAGTTATCCAATAAGAATCACAATTAACAATATTTAGTCCATTAACATTTAGCAACATTTAAGAAACTATTCCATCATCTATTCCATCTTTGTGGGTCTAAAGTAACTTATCTTTAATATTAAGGAAAACTATAACTATAACTGTCTTCAACTCCTTCAAAGACCATAGAAGGATAGTATATAAGCTCTAGAAATGACAGAGATATCTTGCCTTTTTAGTCACCCGAAGTTCTTGTGTAATCTTCCATCTTCAGCCCATAGGCCATAGTGTGTCTGACAGACTCTCCAGTAAAGCAGAAAACTTTAAACTGTCTTCTTGTATTGGCAGTTTGTCAGTCACTTTTCTCTGTGTCCTGCATATTGTCTCGAAGACTCTTCTATGAAGCAGGATCTCTGTAGCAATGTCCATCTTGAATCAGCAGTCATTTTTCTGTGGGTCCTGCATGTCCAGTTTATACATCACAAAGTCAAACAGTCCAGACAAGAGGAGTATCTTGTCCAAATGGCTAGTCTTGTCATATTGGAAGTAAACTTCATAATGCATTTCTTCGATGTCCATCTTCCTTTCTGGTGCAGGTGGTATTGCCAAGAGCAATTATGTCTCACTGTCATGAAAACCCTAAACCATTTTAAATGCCATATTCTGTAGGTCTCTGAAAGGTTTGAAGAATGACTATCTATCTCAAATACATCTCTGTGTATCTTGAAAAACCTAACTAACTTAACTCTAAGCTTTGACTATCATAGGTAATTATCTATAATCTGTAGTACATTATACAAAAGCTTTTTTAAGCTTTTGTTAAATTTTAAGTGGAAGTTCTTATTAGCCACGTGGGCGCCATTTGTAACGTGTATGGTTTTTTCCGCCCGCCACCGCTGGTCTTGTCCTGCTGCTGCGCCGCCAGCCCCAAATAATACACAGAGACTCTGTATTTGATACAATGCTGTTGGCCCTGTTACTTGTTTTTTATCGGCTAGCTCTGCCTTAATTATTAACCCATTTTTGATGATCTATGTATTTCTCTTACCGGGGAGCCGGCAGCATACTGCTTTCTCCAGACTCTCCATCTTGACTCCTCCTTACTCCTTCCTATTTCCTCCTTGTCTCCTAGTCCCTCCTATCTTCCTTTCCTATTGGCCAACAGTGCTTTATTATTATCCAGTATGAGAAACATATATAGAATGACATCTCCCATCAGTCATAAATTACACAATTTTTAATCGTCAAAACTTTGGGAGCATGAGAGGAGTGGTTCATTTTGTGCATTGACATTGATAGCTTGCTTCATTAAGTCCCATTAAGTAGCTTGAGGAATGGAAGTAGATATAGATTTTTGTCTTCCTGTTATATCTTTATACTGTTGGATACAGTGGGTTCTTCACCTAGAATTTTTTTGGGAGATGAGGTATTTTATTAACTAAACAGTTACCCAGATTAATCTGTTTAAAATCTTCACTCTCTATCAAAAAGTTTTTCTCTAATAGGACACACACATACATACATACATACATACATACATACATACATACATATCCTCTTTTAGGCTAAGTTGATAAAGTTCTGACCATTAAATCCAAGAACCTGTGAAACAACAACAAAATGTTGGGTGTGATGGCACCCAACATGTTTGTAATTCTAATACTAGGGAGAAACGAAGGCCAACCTCTGAGGTTCCCTGGCCAGGCAGCCTAGTCTACTTGAAGAGGTACAGGTAGTCAGAGACCCTGTCTCTGAACAAAGGTGGACATCAAATGAATGCCATTCAAGGTTGTTCTTTGGTCTACACACAAGAATTTTTTAGTAACAGACTTAGGTCCTTCATAATTCTTATCACTTCATTTCAGTATATAACTAAACCATAAGAGATTAGACTGTCTAAAATGTAACACTTTTGTTGGTGGTAGTTGGTTTTACCAGATATAATATAGGAAGTTGCCTTTTACTTATCAGACCCCCTTTCTCAAATGTCAATGAAAAACTTTATCTGTTTATTACCATTACTTTTCTTGTATTACTATGTCTTCCCATTTTCAATATCAGTCTCTTGTTCTTACAAACAAAAAAACCCTGCTTAGATTTCTCCCCATGCAGTGTGATGCAAATTGCACAGTCTAGTTGTCAACATGGCCTTTTCCCATGCAAGATGGTCATGGCTTCATAGTGAGGATCTCTGATCCACAGGTGGTTGTATTCATGGCATTGCCTAAGTTCAGTATTCTATTCAACAGACATGATGAGCAAACATATTTACTTGATGAGAGGTCTGATTGAAATTGGGAAGGTACATCAATAATGTGCCTTGGCTTTGGGTATATTGTAGGAAGTCCTACAGCTGGAGAGGCAGATGGGAGGACAACTCCTAGAAGAACCCAAGGCTCTTCATTTTAAAGGCAGCATCCACAACCTACGCCTGTCGATTCATGACATCGCCCATTCCCTCTGGAAGAGCAAATTGTTGGCTAAGTATCAGGTGAGGCTACCAAGAGGCACCAACTGCATGATACAGATGATTTGAGATTTTATAGTCATAAGATATCTCCATTCTTAGAACAGCTCCAATACTAACACTTATTTCTCCAAAACAGTTAGAACCAGTGTTCTAACAAGCACTTTAAAGAAATGGCTTTTAAAGTATTTTTCTTAAAATCACTGTACTATTATTTTAGTTTCAGTACATTTGTTTTTGATGGACATGTTCACTAAACTAATAGGAACAGCCTCAAATGCATGCACAGGAGGAAATGGAACACTGACATATATTAGGCTTCCTTCTGTCTTGCTAGCTAGCACAGCACCTGCACATTGAGGAAGCCAGCTTTTGCAGAGTGACAGTATGACAGTGAAAAGGCATGCTGTCACTCATTGTTTCTGGATTTGCATCAGAACCTCAGCCTACACCTTATGTTCTTTCATGAACCTTTTCCTTAGCTTAATTGCCACAAGAATATAGGATTCACTCTGGACACTAGTTTAGATGGTTACAAATGAGAGTCTGGTTTTGGCTTGGTGCTTTTTAGGCCAAGGACCTTTTTTGTGACGACTTATTTCCAACAGGAGCAGGCTTTAGATGCCCCTGCCCTTAGAAAAGGAAGGCAAGAGGCATGAAAAGATGATGGATCAGCACTACATCCTGTGGCTAGCTTTGCTGTGCTCCAATATGTCACACCAGGGATTCCTTTTAATGAGAAAAGATGGAGAGTGAAGGATTTATTTTAGGAAGTTTCTAAGCTTTTTAAAAATCTCATCTACAATGGGTGTTTTTTGAAATGAGAAGCAGGTAGCCTGGTTAGTAGTTGATTCTAGAGCTTGACTTCATAGGTTCCAGGCTCAACACATCCACTTCCTCACTGTTCAACATTGGCTGTTATTTAATCTCTCTGCACCTCCGATTTCCCGCGTGAAAAGAAGTGAGGCCATATTTGTATGTAGGGCAGTCATGAGATCGGAAGAGGTGAATACTGAGAAGAAGCAGTTTCTGATGGGTACTTTCAGCATCTCTCCTTAGTGGTTACCTCCCCCATATCTTCCAGGAAATCCCATTTTACCATATCTGGAGTGGCTCTCAAAGACACCTCCACTGCACCTTCACTCTGGAAAGACTCAGCCTGAACACTGTGGAGCTGGTTTGCAAACTCTGTGTGCGGCAGGTGGAAGGCGAAGGGCAGATCTTCCAGCTCAACTGCACTGTGTCCGAGGTAAAGGCACCCTTGGGATCTTGGAGAGGGTTTCAGGACAAAGAATGGCAGGGCAGGGGCAAAAGCAATCCCTGTGGAGGTGACATGGAGGGCTTCCCAAGCTGGTTTCTGTGTGTTTAATGCAGCTGGGAGAGGAATCATTTTTGTGAAACCAAGTTTTCTTATGCCACGCATTTAAGATTCATAGTGGAATTTACAAAAAAAAAAAAAAAAAAAAAAAAAAAAAAAAAGGTCTGAGCACAAGACATGACAGTAAATTCCTGTAATCCCCAATATTCCTGCAATTTGCTGCAAATCCAAGGCCAGCTTGGCCAAAATAGTGAGGCTACCTTTTAAAACACTAAGGGACAAACATGCTGAGATCTGAACTTCAGGTGTAGGGTTTTAGTAGCATAGACATGACACTTTCCACCAGCCTCCTGCAATTGTTCTCTCATAGGAAAGTCTGTCATTTTGTCTTAGTCATGGGCTGTGGATGAAGGCAAAAAGGGGTGGCTTCTCCCCTAATTTTCTCCAAAGCTTTTGGTCTCCTTTCTATCTCTCACCTCAGTCTCCAAATGCCAGAGGGTATGTCCTTTCATCTCAGGGTCGAGGAGATAATCCAGGAATAGAAGAAAATCCATACCCTGCCTAGCTGTCACTTTTGCCTCTCTCTGCTATGATTGTTCACACACTCGGCTGGTCATTTTTATAGATTCATATTCCAGCAGTAACAAGAGTTGCTGTTCTTTCCATCTCCTCTGTAAGGAAAGAGGAGGTACCCATGACCTTATCTGTCCCGTTGGATGCAAAGACTATGGTTTGAAAAGCAGTAAGCCTTCACGTTGGAGGAACAAAGGAGGAAGAATAAGCCCAATGGTCAGAAAGCCTCCCCTCGTGGCCCTGTGGAGCTCAGATCCATGCTGCTGCCTGAGCCACAAAGCCCAGGAAAACTACAGCCAGCCGTGTATGATTTAAAATACTTTTTTGTCTTGTGCATAGTGATGACTGCAAAGTCAGCCTGTTCAGCCTGTCTTGCACCACATGTCCTATTTAAAGATGATCTTCCTGAGCAAATGAGGCAGGGTGGGGGTGGGGGAAGGATGTGAGCTCATTGAAGTTCCAGCCTTCTTTCCCACAGCCAGTGAGGTGCAGTCACCCTCTGCTCCTGGAGTTTCATGAGACTTTTGACTCATAAACAACTTTAGTCACAGACCTCAGTGACATTCATAAGGGATGATCTCTGTGTCAGGGTGCCATGGCAACCGCCGGGCCTTTGGATGCACAGCCCTATCTCCCAGGCACACAGCACCACCCCTGCTGGCTTCGGAGGGTGTTTTCACTTTCCCGGCCCAGCAGGTCTGCAAAGCTCAATAACCACCCAGCTCCAGTGACAACAAAGGCTGTGGAATTTTGGAGGGGGGTGAGGAGTCTGGCCCTTTGATGCATGCTTTCTGTTCAGCATGAACATTTGCTGTGCACTGAAAAGATGGATCAGATGCAGCCACAAAGAAATGAGAGCTGCTCTGAGTTCTCCCCCCACCAAGGCTGCTAGCTCCTCACACAGAAAGGGCAGTTTTGCAAAGTGTGATCACAACTTAAGGGCGTCTTTCTGGTGCCAACACAGAGAAAAGATTATTGCTTCTTCAACTTGGCAGACAGCTCAGAGGCCAGCCCTGCAGTCACGCGCCAGGCATTTGCCCATGTGTGACAGACAAGCAAAGGATGGAAGAAGTGATCAGACTAGGGAAAACTTTGGGGATTAAGAGGCACTCTGCTGCTTATACTTCTGGGTCACTGAGCTCCACCATTTCAGTTTGCATTTGCGTGCAGGTTGGGTTGTTGGAGGAAGGATTAGCAATCCTGTACTGATGCTGGAGCACTATGAGGCTCTATATGGATGAACACTTGACTCTGGAATGTCCAATGACCCAAGTCCTCATCAGAAACTAAGAAGTGGTCCAGTATTACTCACAACCTGTAACAATAGAGAAAAGTTTCATTTGTGCTTACTTTCTTCAGAGCCTTGCTCCTCCCCGCACAAGGCAAGGTAACAGGTTCTATCTCTATTATCCTATCCCCATAGAATGATCTGTCTTCTTAGAAATATACTGCTTTTCTGCACTAGCCACCTACTAATGAAGATCATTCAGCAGCAGTCATTTATAAAACCACACAACTCAGGGCCTCTTGAGCCTGGCAGAGAACATTTTGCCCACCACAGCGACCAGGCTGTGCAGAGCACAGATCATGGCCTTGTCAGGAAGCACCACCTGTTCTTTCTATGTCCCCTTTACCAGATGGCCCTTAAAGGCTTCTAACTGTAGAGAGGAGAATAAAGAAGCAAATGCCTAGAATCCTAGAATATTGGTGTGAATGAATGTCAAGATGAAAATAATGGTGGAAGATATCTCACTTTTCCTGCCTTTAGATGGAGATGGTGTCCAAAGTGAAAGTACAGAGAAAGAAGAAACACTTGGAATTTTGTTTTAGTCCTTGATGTCATTTTAGCTGCACACAAAAGCCTATCACAGCAGACAGTTCAGTAGGAACATACCCAATTATCTTCCCCTTTATAATTTTTCTTATGCTTACCTGGCATACCATCATTTGTTAGTTCCATTGAGAAAAACTCAGTATGTGAATTTTAAGAAGTGTCATAAACAGAACTTGCTCCATGACACAAAATCATATCCACCATTATTGTTATTGGAAACACTGGCTTTAAAATAAGAATTGCCTCTCTAGTCTGTGAGATCCATCGGCAGCCTAAGTATCAGATGCTCCTTTCTCCAAATACAGCTCAGACTGCAGAGATGGTTCAGTGGTTAAGGTCATTTGCTGCTCTTGCAGAAGACCTGTGTGCAATTCCATATCCACACTGCAGTTCACAAGTATCTGTAACTCCAGTTCCAGGAAATCTACGACTCTTTTCTATTCTCTGGGGCACACTGTACAAGGTGGTATATATATATATATATATATATATATATATATATATATATATATTACATCCAATAGAAATAAATAATAAATCTTAAGATGTAAAGGGGTGTCATGGCTACCATGGTCTATATGAAGAATACCACCATCTCCCTAAAGGTGTGGCTGGAGATGTACTCTAGTCGTAGAGCACATGTGTGATGCATGGAATGTCTATGAGCACCCAGAACAGATGTTTGGTTAATGCTGAAAAATCTTATGTTTAACTAAGAGAGTTATAACATCATAAGCAGATGGTACCAACATCATAAAAGATTATTGTAATAAACATTCTGTAAGAGTAATCTCTAATTTTACCTGCAAGAAAAGGAAATGCTAATGGAAACTGCAGTTACTACATTACCACATTAAACTTAAACATAAATATATACATATATTCTGACTCCCTTAAAGGTATACTGTCAGTAAAGAGCAGTACAGGGCTTGTTTCATAGACACAGGCAGAGTAGCCAGGTTAGGAGGTAGGGTAATGTCCACCTAAAATAATGCTGGCTCCTGACTCAGCAAGAACAGGATGAGCTGACTGTATGAGACCTTCCTGAGATCCATGCCTGCTTTAAGCTGGACGTTCTGTACCTTCAAGGTTTAACAATGAACCAATGAAGCCCTCATTCATACTTCGCTGGAAAGAAGTACAACACATCATTCTACAGGTGGAGCTTGGAAATAGGATTCATTGTCTCCCTGCCCTAGCAAAAAGTATTTCCTCCTACTTCAGCAAACAGTAATTGAGTAATTCAGTGTACAAGGCACAGTGGGAGTTGAGTACCATAGGGGGACCTGTTAATAAAACAACAAATAAAACACTCTGCTTGCCAAGAAATTTAAGAGAACAAAGGAAGTCATAGTCCATCTAGTCTGGTAGGGCTGAACCTGCAGAATACTAGAGAGCAGACACACTAAGTAGGGTATCCTCCATACATACGGAGGGGAATGTTGCAGCACATGCCCTTTAGAACAAAATCTAAGAGATGAGATGAAGCAGAGAACTGGCAAAGGGCTGCTCCCTTAAGTGGCAGTAGGAAGGAAACCTGAAAGGGGTGGGATCCGATTGTGAAGTGAGGGAAGCATTGTTGTAGGGGTTCCTGCTCCAAGAAGAATTAGCTTTTATGTCATTTTTGTCATAGGTTTAGGTCCATGGCTATGTGCATGTCTGATTTCCTTAAAAAGCAATGTTGGTATAGAATCGACTTAAAAAACTGCCCTCTCCTGAAAACTGGACTAGTTTGAGAAGGATTGGCATTACTTTTTCTGTAAAAGTTTACTCACTCATTTTGATTAAGCAATGAGGCATATGCACATTGACTAATTTTAGAGAGAAGTCATGATTACAATCTGGTTTACAGTAGCCACAGAAGGAAAAAATAATACCTTGGGATAAACTTAAAGGAGGGATACCTTGCTGAGCCTAGATGTGGAGGTGGAGGGCACCCTGGTCGTGCCTCAAAGTGATGGGCCAGACTTTGTTGACTCCCATGGGAAGACTTAACCTCTCTGAAGAGTGGTTGGGGTGGGGGGGGGGGAGGCGGTGACAGCAGGGGGAGGAGAGGGAGTGAAACCTGCAATTGAAATGTAAAACGAGAAAAGATTGTTTTAAAATAAAAAGAAAGGAAAATAACTTGTTAAAGTACTTAAAGCAGTCCTGAGTGAAAAGAGCAAAGCTGGGAACATTACAATACCTGAGATTTAACAAATACTGCAAAGTCATAGAAGCCCAAACATTGCAATATCAGCATACAGACACATATATCAGTTAAAAACATTGCATCCCAGATGTAAACCCCTGCATTCACACCCGGATACTTCTCAACAGAGGCACCAAAGATGCACTTTGGAATGACAAAGTGATGTTGGGTAAACCCAACACATAAAGGAAAAAGACTGAGACATAATCTTCCTCACCCTATACAAAACCAAACCCAACTTGATCAAAGCCTAAGGATTCAGACCTGAAACTTGACACTACAGGAAGAAAACCCAGCAAGAACAACTCAAAACTTGGGTAAAGGTGCTGATTTCCTGGATAGGAATCCAAAAGCACAGAAAATAGAGCAAATACTGATGGCTAGGATGATCTCCAATTACAAAGGTTTTGCACCACAAAAGAAATGATCACTGGATGAAGGGACAGCTACAGCATGGGAGAAAGCACATGTCGGCTTGAGATGTGACAGGTCCTCATCCAGAAAATACCAGGAACTGAAGAAATTATTTTAAGTTTTAAAATGGGCAAATTCTGACCAAGACACTAGTGAGAAGAATACAAACAGCCAACAGACAAGGAAAAAGTGCTAAGTTGGCCATCAGGGAATACAAGTCAAAACCACCATGTGATGTCATTCACCCCAGTTAGTAGGGTTATGATCAAAGTAACAAACAATAAATGCTAATGAGCATGTGGCGAAAAGGTACTCATGTTGTTGATGGGAATGTAAATTAGTACAGTCACTATAAAAGTGCCTGAAAATATTAAAAATGGTCTAGTGCATGATCCAGCTGACCCAATTCTAAGTATATTACCAGAGGAAATTAAACCACCGTGACCAGTCAGACATGCCTACAAACCTTTTGTGTGTTACAGCATAATCCCCAAGAGTTAAGACACAGATGCAACAAAATAAAGTAAAAGTGTTATGTATAACAATGGAGTATTACTCAGTCATAAGGAATAATGGAATCCTGTAATTTGCCCTGAAATGACTAGAACTGGATAGAGGGCATGAAGTAAAATTAGTCAAACAGAAAACAACAAGGGTGTGTGTGTGTGTGTGAGATCCCCTTTCTCACAAAGAACAACAAGGAAACATTGACATGAAAGTGAAGTAATAAGAGCTGAAGACTGGAAATGCCATTGGGAGTAAAGGAATTAACTGGAATAGTGTATGGTCTTCATTAAGTCAATTATCTGTTCAAATTCAAGATAATTCCACTAACAACTAGTAAATATTCAATGGTAAATACATTTTTTATTTCTTTTTTGAAACTTTACATTCCAACCATAACTCTCCCTCCCACATCTCCTCCTGCGCCCCTCACCTCCCCCCAAGCCCAGATACCATATATTCTGGAAAGCCAAATCTTTGCAGAAACATTTCTTTCTATTAAGTCAAATCAGAGCTTCATATTTTATCATATTCAATATATTTTTCAGTTTCCTTATTAATAATCTTTGTGAGAAATATTTTCACAATATGGCTGCCATCTTTAAAAGTCCAGCTTCCTAAGTGCATAAATAAAATGGAGCATTGTGTTTGAAAAAAGAAAAAAATAAGAAAAAACACTGAGATTAAAAAGAGTGATGAGATTCTATCATTTTACCCTTATGCTTGTATGAAAGTAGAATCCTAAATACAGTTATACACATGTCCAAATATTAGGATTTGGAGCTGGCTCAGTTAATAAACTCCAAGTATCAGATTTTGATTTCCAGAACCCATGCTAAAATCAAAACAAAGCAAAAAAACACCAGAAATGCCCCATTGTGCATTAATAATTCCAGGACTGGGGAAGAGAGGAGAGAGAGAATCCCTAGGCTCCCTGTGCTCAACAGGCTGAGCATTATTGATGAGATCTGGACTAATGAGAAATCCTGACTCAAAAACTAAGGATAGTACCTGAGGAAAGACACCCACAATTGTCATCTGGCCTCTGTATAAAGGCACACACAAGCATGTGGACCCATAAATTCACACGCACACACACACACAACCCACACTCTGATACAATATTTGAAGGTTGGAACTTCTGTGAGAGAAAAGATATTAAACTCTTCCCTCAGTGAAGGAACAGGAGAGGGGCGGGGAAGAATACTACACATGAGTGAGCACATCAAGAGGACAGGCTGACAGGAGAGCATGGTGGTGGACAGGCAAACAGCAGGAAGATGCTGTGGCCAACCATGAGGAGGAGACCCTTTGGGGACAAGAGTCAGTGCTACACAAGCCACTTCCTCCCTGTGCAGACTTTATCCTCCCCTGTGACCCAATGATAATCAGGTGGGGATGTACTTCAGGGGCTGGTAGGTTCCTCTTGTAGTCTAAAGAGTAGTTAGTAGATTATAATTTTCCATGAAGGAGTAAGAAGACTTGAACCTGGGCGAGGGTCTCTAAAATGGGGCACCAGTGTGGAACTCATTTCTGCTCCCACATACTAATATACCCTTGCATACTGCTGTGATGCTTGAATTCAAACACCTCAAACATGGGTCCATGGGTAAGCATTGCTACATGCCCCCAGTGACTCTCTGTTGGCCTTTCTGAAGCCCTGTGACCCCAGAGGTTAGGAACTCATGCTTCTTGGGAGAGCTCTGTGCCTGAGGGGAAAGATCTGCTGGTCTCACCAGAGTTTTCTAACCCTGCTGGAGGCTTCTGAGATGCAGCCCACAGTTTAGCCAAGGAGCCAGAGCTAACAAAGAGGAGCCAGGAGCCAGTGGCATCTATTTTACTAATGCTTATACACAATAGTTTTGGCTGTGATTTATTATACGATTAAAAGTTTTTTTTTTTTTTTTTTTTTTTTTTTTTCTCAAAAATGTCCCCAAACTCCTTAATGGTCCCTGTCTAGGAGGATTACAGAACATTAAAAATCAGTACTGTCTACTGATCCCCCAAAAGCAGACCACCCTGTGGGCCACACTTGGGAGGCTTCCAGCTGAGCCCACACCTGCCCCTCAAAGCTCTAGCACCGACAAGTCTTCAGAGACATCAGAATCAGGGCAGGACATCGGGGCTCTGAGAGCAGTGGCACTGGCCTCTAAGCTGAGCACTTGGCAGGCTATCACAGATATCTCGATGGCTGGATTTCTGCAGCTAGTGTATCCTCCAGCAACTAATTGTGTACCAAGCCGTTACCTGCTTTAAAAAGAAGACACTAAAGCAGGTTTAGGAGGTTTCCTGTTATTATTATAATGGTTCCCAGGCAGCATTTCCTCTTGCCTTCAGCCCACCACAAGTGATCAGAAAATGATTCAAGTGTCTCTTGCCGATGAAATTTAGATTTTGCATTTGTGCTGTTTTATGAGCTGAAACTATTTTAAGAGCCAATTTATGGTTTTCTCTACTAAAATTGGATTTTAAAAAATAAGCAAGGAAGTTCAGCAATTAGAGGACACCATTAGTGGCTTGCCCTAAAGCAATATTCTGTGTTTCTCTGTTTACCATTTTCTTTGTAAAAAAAAAAAAAAAACAGAAGAGAGCCACCTTCACAGGTCTAGATGGAGTTTTTTAAATGTTCACCCAGGGCATGCCTTTAGGGTTAGATGGTTTCCAGAAGCTCTTCCTCATCTCCGATCTATTTATTCATTCAGAAACAATTGCTCCTTTAAACATTTCCAACATTTAACCCTTCTGAAACAGTCATCTCCTCTCTTCTCTCCTGGAGATTCCCATTAAAGGAAGCACTGTAGAATCTCAAAAGAGCTTTCTGTCCTGCCCAGTCCTGAGCAATGACTCCTGAGCACAGGCTCTGCAAAACTACCTCCAAATGTCCACCTCGTGGTTCCCAACTGCCCATAGTGACCCACTACTTCCAGTCCAGCCAGGAAGAAGCTGTCCTCCATGAGGAAAACAGAACTCATTCTCTGTATCTATCTTAATTTACTGGGAGTCAAGCCTTACGTTGATTGGTACAACAGGGATTGCATTTGTCTTCTGACAATAAAGCTGTGTTATTCCTACAGGAACCCACTGGCATTGATTTGCCTCTGTTGGATCCTGCAAGTACCATCACCACTGTCACAGGACCAAGTGCTTTCAGCATCCCTCTCCCTATCCGGCAGAAGCTATGCAGCAGCCTGGATGCCCCCCAGACAAGAGGCCATGACTGGAGGATGCTGGCTCATAAACTCAACCTTGACAGGTGAGTGTATCTAGGCTTGAAGACTCATTGTTTTTATTTAGCAGAGGTTTCCAGGACTGAAAACAGTTAGATAGAAAGCAGCATTCCTATTCTTTTCCTTCCCACTACATATCTGCTTACATTTTCATTCTGACAGTATGCATCATGCCTCTACACCTCATACCATGAGCTTCCAAATAGTTCCAAGAGGAGCTCTGGGTTATATGACATTTATCAGTATCCCTTGTGATCTACTTGGTCCAGCTTATGTGCTATGGCCTCCGAAGTTCTATGTCTATTCAGTAATTACTGTTCATCACCAGTTGAACAAGGCGTACTGTGTACTGAATAATTTACGTGCTCACACAGCATTTGTATTAAGCTATTAAGAGACCCTGAGAGCCTCTACTTTGTAGAATGTAGCTGTCACCCCCAAACAAGAGATGTGGCATGACCTGTCAAAGATCATCAGAGCTTGAGCTGGATAGACAACATAAGCCTCTTGATTTCCTGTTTAGAACAAAACCCACAGACACATTGTCTCTTAAATTATCCTATTCAGAGTTGAGGTTAACAAAGTTAAACAGCATGTGACCTGTCTGGGGCTGATCTAATTAAGTACAGAGCGATCATATAGTGAGATTCACTACAACCCACAGTGGGACTGAAATACTTCAAGAAAGACAGGTTCATCCCAGAAGCAGAGGAGAGAATAATACTGTAAATAAACCTGTAAATCACACCTTTTAGCATATTTTCCCATTCCTAATTGCAGATACTTGAATTACTTTGCCACCAAATCGAGTCCAACTGGCGTGATCCTGGATCTTTGGGAAGCACAAAACTTCCCAGATGGAAACCTGAGCATGCTGGCAGCTGTCCTGGAAGAAATGGGAAGACATGAAACAGTAGTGTCCTTAGCGACAGAAGGGCAGTATTGACCACACTGGAACTGAAATTGAGTGACAAAATTACACAGGGAGTCTGTGTCCAGGGGAACCACAGCTGAGAAGGAAATCCAGATGTAACCAAGGCGCTTTTCAGGCAAGATGGCAGCAGGAAAGGTGGGGGACAGTTACAACCACCAAGGTACATGCCCACTTCATTCGGACAGCACCACCAAGGGAGTTAAGAAAAATTGTGTAAATTTGTACCTTGAATTTAGAAATCAATCTAATTTTTCTCTTTGTTGGGCTGTATGCTGTATGGTACAGGATCTTACAGTTTCCTAGGAAACGCTTTTTATTGCTATCCAGATGTATGGATAAACTTTCTTAACAAACCCAATTTCTACAAACGTTGTTTACATCAAATTGGACAGGGATGCAGACACTGTCCATGGCTCGTTCTATTTTTGTTCCAATCATTTGAAGTTGAAGCTGTGGACGGTTTGTTGAGTCTATTTCAGATTAGTAACTTACAGAGAAATCATACACTTTTGCTATAAATCGTGTACATCAGGTGTCTCAGATCAGTGTTCCCATCAGTGTTCTGTTTCTGAAACTCGTTGGACCAGTGTTGGCATTTGTATCAGGGAAGTGGAGAATCTAAATGGAGAATGACTAAGATTCTTTATGCCATGGGGGATATCAGTTGGTATCCTTTGCGAGCAGAGCTGTAGCATTGCGGGGAAGATAGTGATTCATGTTCCTCCACTCAAACATGTCTGTACCACAAGTGTTTGTAATATGCAAGTTCAAGTGTTTTTTAAAATATTATTATTACAAATATTCTAGTAAAAAAAAAAAAGATTTTCTTTTGTTTTAGTTAGCAATACTGTTAGTATTTGGTATTGACTAGACCTGCCTCCCTTTCTTTCGTAAAGAGGTGGATGTGGTCACCAGCTTAGTTCAATAGGCTTCACTTCCTTTACCTTTGATCTACCATTCTGTGGTGAAAGAGACTGAAGTGCTCACTGGCTATGTCTGCTCTTTCTGCTTTTTTGGGCAGTCTTTCTGTTCTGGGTCTTATCATGAGGAGAGTTCTCTATGTAAAGCTCATTTAATCTTGTGGCTGTCTGTCTGAGAGGCAGTGTGGTTTGTGGGCAATAGTTTTTGAACTAGGAATCAGGAAACCAATTATCATTATGGAGTTGGTCACTGTCCGGCTGTGTGACCTTGGGAAAAACATTGAAACTCACAGTAGCCCCTTTTACTGATCTGTAAACTATGGGGTGAGATCCTATCATCTCAAGATTCCAGAATGCTAACCTCCCATTGGGATGCCATCAGTCTTATTCATCAATTTGAAGAATATAAGAGACTCTGGCCTGGACCATTCATCCAGCCAGTCTTTTGCTGGAATACAGTGCATCTTCCTGGCAACATTGATTTGAAAGGTGATTACTTCAACATGCCTATATTTGTTTGGCTCTCTTATCTTTGTATCATGGTTGCATGATGTTGTACACCATACACCGAGAGATGGCATCCTTTTATTATCGTTATCTTGTTCTCTGGTGGTGGTGGTGGGGCTACACTACAGCCTTCCAGCTAGTTGTAAATCTACTTTACTTATATTGATCTCAAGACCCATGCCGCTGAAGGAATTGGTAGTTTTTCTTCCTTCATTAATCTTTGCTTTAATAATAGTCAATTGTATTTACAGAGTTTAATTAGCTCTTTTATCCCACAAAATATTAATAGTTTTGCAAGGTATGAGTTTTTGCTTGGAACTATCACGGTTTGTTTTACTGTTGGAATACCATTCAACAGATGGAGAATGAAAACTTAGCAGTCCCAGACACAGTTAGACAAACCAGAGCCTTCAAAATACTACTGTGGCTTACTTTGGGGCTGGAAGTATCCAGTATGTAGAATGGTTCCAGTTAGGAGTCACCTTGCCCATTTCCTTTCCTATCCTGCTACTTCTTGATATTCTGACTCTTCTGTCTTAGTCATTAAAGGACTGTGGATATGCTTGTAGAGGCTCTTTATTCCTGCCGTTTATCCTTTCTTTTGGATATGTATTTCTACAATCACATTTTCTAACCATTACAATATTCATTTGTAAAAATACTGATCCAAAGGGAATGCTGTACTCCTAAACAAGTACAGTGGCTAATATCTATAACAAGGACTTTTTTCTAACTTTTAAGAGTTCAGACAGATATTCTTTAAATGTAAGAGGAAGAAAGAGTTGTCCACTGCTGTCTCTTGAAACAAATGTGAAGATGCCTCTTCAGTATTGGGATTCGGGAATTATAGAAATCACAACTGGACTGGATGTTTTATGTAACTTCAATGTTGTGTAAGTAGAGAGGGGCAGATGTCTTGTTATTCTGATTAATCTATCCTAAAAATTGCTAAATCGCCAACACAAACATCGAGTATAACGCGAACAACATTGTTGAAGCTTTTGAGAGCCCTTGTGTTCAAGCATCTAGAGATACTTGCTTTTGCATTCTGCCTCTCACAACAGGAATAGAAAGAATGACTGATCTCTTATGAGGTACTCATTTGTCATAAAACTACTATCTATCACATGAATGACAGTTTCCAAACTAGAGCATACCATCCATCAGATAAGTATAAGGTATTTTCCTTTGAGGAAAGCAATAGTTGTTAGATCACTGCTCTCCAACACACAAGGTTCACCTGCTACAGTTCATTTCAGAAGTGGTATCATCACCTCTGAAGCAAGTCTGGCTTACACACAGCCTCTGAAGAAAGCTGTGCTTGATGCATTTGGGGGAAGCCTATTTATTTGTGTATATTGCCATCTAGTGGTCCGCTACAGAGTTACTCAGTTTCATATACAGCTTACTAAAAGTTGACCGAGAGAGTAAGTACCTATAGAGCTTGACCAGAGATTAGTGACACAGGGAAATTTTCCTTTCAAGTGTGTAATTTCCTTATTCTAATACTTGTTCACTTAAATCAGTCATTTAATACATCATCTACTTACTCATACACATCTTAAGTTACCTTTCTGTAACAAACATATATGAAATTTATATAAAAGTATTAAAAGTTGTCTTTATTCATGAATCCCATTGGACTTAGCATATTTGAAATCTTTTAATTGCACAGTAGTAGCTTTGTCATTGATTTAATGTTTTTAGATGTAGTCTTGCTGGGTATCCCAGAACACCCTCAAACTCATTATTCTATTCCATAGGCTCTCCTTTAAATAAGTCCCACTACATGAACTTTAAAAAGCTTCTGTTTTTGTGCGAATCCCATGTCTACAGAAAGGGAAATGTGGCTGTTGATTACGAATGATCTTCAGTTCATGTTGATCTTCTGAGATTAGGAATGTAAAGGCAGAAGCTTCATGTTCTCATTTTTTTTTTCTCATGGCATTAATTCAAATTGACTTGATAGCTGAGTACATGGCAATGGCAAGCATGTGTCAAGGAACTCACAGACACGTATCTTCCATGCAGGCACCCTACCTCTGCTATACAAAGAAACCATCTTCACCTGAGCAAATCAATCTCTTCAAGGAAAGGATGCTTAGTAGGACAAGAGGTCCAGGATCAATTGTTATTACTAGCTATTTTCATATATGCTATGATTCTGTAGTTTTTTTAAAATTATTACACTATCAAAGTGTAGAGACTTTTTTAGGGAAAAGCCACAATGACTATGTTTTGGGCCCTCTAGATGTTTAGAGTCCTGATACTAGACATTCATTTGTTTTAAAGTAAATTAAAAAGGAAGCATTCAGAGGGTGGGATCTGGACACATCATTTCTGGAGCAATTCTGGCAGGCTCTTGTCTTACATCTTCTAGTGTCTCCATGGAAGGCATGGTGGCGGTGCTCTTGAGTCGCTTATACCTCCACAGTCACAGGATGTAGGAGCTTGTAAGAATGGTGTTCTATCCCAGAATCCATATGTCTCTGCAGTTCAGGTTCTAGGGCTAATGGATATAGAGCCAAGGAAGGATGTTGGAGAGCATGTGCTGAAAGTAGAAAAGGTTTACTTGTTCCTGAGTCTTCAAGATGAACATGAGCTGAGCAATTGCTCTAGACAAGTATTCCATTCAGATGGCAATGTTGGTGTAAGCCCAAGGCCAGTGGCAGAAAGGAGGACTACAGAAACACAGTAAGGGTGGATATATGCTTGAGATGTCTCTTTTTGAGAAACTATACAAATCAGATCATTGTTCAAGAGAGTCATTTGTAAAGATGATGATGGCCAATGAGCATCTTATTTTATAGATCCAAAAGGAATGATATTTTTTATTATTATCTCAAGTTAATAAAACTGGTTTTGCCTTCTGAGTGCCTCATGGGACCAACTATCTTACTCCTTTCATTTTGTATTGGTTTTGTATTTTTAAAATATACTGAGCTGACATTGACTGAAACCCTTACAACTCTCTTTCTGTGCAATCAAATGCTGTCTCTATGCCCCCAAGAAATCCGTTTGCATTACCTCTGATTATACCGATCACTTTGAAAGTTCCCCGATAACTTTTTTTTTAATGGAATTGGGACTATGGGGAATATTCACATTATAACCAATACTAATTTATGTTCATATAGGATAAATAAGCCAGGTGAAGTCATGTTTCCCAACACCTGGAAATTAAGCTCATTTTTAATAATAGAAGAGATGGCCTGCATGCACCTGGGTGAATTATCTCTTCAAACTAACAATGTAGCTATGGATACTTTAGTATTATTGGCCAAATGGTTGCCCCTTTTCTGAAAACTTACTGCGACAGTCTTCAGGAAGTCCAGCGGGCTTTACTACTTCCTTTACTAAGCTGCGTGAGACATTAACAGGGCTCATTCAACCAAAGGTATTTTCTGCCAGAGGCCTATGTAAGTGTGGTTGGGGAGGTAGCCTCAGGACAAACACACTCCATAAACATAATAGCAGGTAAACCCAATGAGATATAAGAGGCTACCTGCAAGTCTTAGAATACTCAACTATATAATGAAGGGATCTGTCCCAAGAACTTTCAGAATCCTATGGTGGAAGTCCCTGCCATATATCAGGACAGTCATGACCCAACCTACTATTTGTTCAATAGAAAATCAGGGAGTGTGTGAGATACAATCAGCTGTCCACCAGCCATGCTAGTTGTGATGGTACACCAGCTTTTTATATATTATTTGAGAATATGTGGCATGGCAAAATGATGAATTGCAGGCAAAAGTACTGTTGGGCCCATTTTAAATAAGCGTAAACCCTGGGTCATCTTTATATACCAAAGGCCCTAATGCCATGAAGCCTGATGTCACCCAGCAGTGGGGACTGTGAACTATGGGCTGGTTGTACTGATCAGCAGCCCAACGGTGATGAGCTCTTGGCCTTTGATCTTCCCTTAACACTATGAAGGGGCAACATCAAAGCATCACGACAAGCTCTATGCTGTATGTTAAACCAGTTTTACAACAGCATACAAAACATAAAACCCACAGCCAGTAGAAAACCTTTGCTATGTTTGTGTTCCTGCAGCCATTAATAGGACCTAAAAGTGTATACATATGAACTCTCATGTTTTTCTTCAGATCTTGGAAAAGAAAGAAGAGCCAGTTGAACAAAAGACTTGTATTCCTTCTTTCACTTTTTCCTAGACCTACTATGGGTAGTGACACCCTCACCCTCCAGACAATGTATTTAGCCAAGTTGCAGGGAATATCACCAGTGTGTGCGTGTGTGTGTGTGTGTGTGTGTGTGTGTGTGTGTGTGTGTGTGTGTGTATACTGTGCCTGTGTTTCGGATGTCACAGTGCTGTATGTAGTGAGCTTAATGTTGAGCTGTAGGGAATCAGTACCTTCCTCCTCTTTGTTCAAACGATGAAAACTAATACTCATCAGAAAACAATCCCAGCCTTCTTCTAAAGAGAGGCTGGGTCACCCTGTGCCATTCTCTTTGGACCAGCTCAACTTATTAAGTATCAGGTTAAATAATGCTTTGTCAATTTTTTTTCTTTTTTCTTTTTTAAGCAAAAACACAACCTTGGCTTCTCAGATATGAAATACTTCTTTGTTATAGAATTCTGTCTTGCTGTATCTTCTATGCAATTCCTTTTCTAATGACCCCTGGTGGCAGTGGAATGCTCTCCAGCATTCTGTTCATCGCCTTGCTGTGTGGTAGAGGTGAGGGACACCAGCTTTGGGTGTGTCTCTTCTCTCTCCTGTTGCCTCACCCAATTTTCCTGCAGTCCCCTTGGTTTGTAAATTGCCTGCATTTATTGTCAGCCAACATGTACAAAATGTAAGAAAGAATTTTTAAACAGGTAATAAATTATATTTATAAG